CATTTAGTAATTATAAACAAAAACAGAGTGAGGAAGACAGAATGATCTATAAGATTAGGCAGAAAGAGGCTAAGCAAGTTATAAGAGCTTCCAAATCACATACAGAAGAGAAAATAGCACAGTCAGTAAAAAAGGGGGATAAAACATCTTTTAGATACATAAATGAGAAAAGAAAAGTAAAACAAGGATTAGTTAGATTAAAAACAAAAGAAGGAAGGTATGTAGATGAGGATAAAGGTCTAACTGACTGGCTCAATGAATATTGTTGTTCAGTATTTACAGATGAAAATGAAGGAAAGGGGCCCCAGTTAGGAAAAAGGACAAATGAGTCATTTATTACATATGAGTTTACAGAGGAAGAAGTTCTATTTCAACTGTCAAAGTAAAGACAAATAAGTCAATAGGGCCTGATGGAATACACCCAAAGCTATTAAAAGAGCTTAGTGGTGTACTAGCAAAACCATTAACAGATTTATTTAACCAATCATTATTAACAGGAGTAGTCCCAGAAGATTGGAAGTTAGCGAATGTTGTGCCCATTGACAAGAAAGGTAGTAGGGAGGAGTCGGGCAACTATAGGCCAGTAAGCCTTATTTCAGTAGTGGGGAAAGTAATGGAAACCATGTTGAAGGATAGGATTGTTGAACATCTAAAAACACATGGATTTCAGGATCAAAGAAAACATGGGTTTACTTCAGGGAGAGCATGCCAAACTAATCTTATTGATTTTTTTGATTGGGTAACTAAAATAATAGATCAGGGTGGTGCAGTAGACATTGCTTACCTAGATTTCAGTCAGGCTTTTTTTTTTGTATTTTATTGGAGTTTCCACACTCAAAATACATCTGGTTCACAGTATGGAAAAAATGTAACAGTAGAACAGTATAACATTCTTACGACATTAGCGAGGTGGACAAGATGGCATACTGTACAGATACGTCTTTGGACACTGCAATCACGTCTCTCGGTGAGTCTGCCGGGGTGGCAACAACTTTGCGGACTCTGAAAGCTGATATTATTAGTCCCGGATCTGTGCTGCCTCTGATGTCCATTAAGGTTAGGAGGCGCCGGAGAAAGGCAATCATTGCTTCTCCTCCAATCGGCACCAGAATTCCCTGGAGGCAGATATTCTTCCTCTTGTGCCTAGGCTCTAGTGCAGTCATCGATTTGGTGAGTCTCTGGACCTGTTCAGTGATTGTGGTCTGGGGTGGTTTGCAGCCCCTGTTCTCTGGTCGCTTCTTTTGTTTCCATCTGAACCATTCTCTGTTTGAGGTTCCCCAGCTCCATGCGCATTTCTGCTAGGTTTTCTTTCCACACTTTCCGCATATCTAGCAGGAGGTTCTTAATGTCCCTCTTGGTTGCTGGAGAGGAATCCTCATTGGACTCTGGGTCAATTGAGGGTGTCCCCACCGAAGGTGATGTGTTGGTCTCTTCTCCTTCTCGAGATTCCCCTGGGGCCTCTTCATCGCTGAGTGGTTCAGGCACCATCTTAGGGGGGACCTGCGGGGTAGGCCTATCCAATGAAAGTCTAATATCTGGCATTCTAGTGCCCTCCAGATAGCGTATTTTTTTTCTTTTGCGCCCCATAAGGTCTACTGTGTGAGGGCAGTGATTTGCCATGTTAGTGGAGCCTTTGAGCGGTTTTATCTAGTTCTTTCCGGTCTCTGGGTCAGAGCTCCACCCAAACCTGTCTTCTCTGTAGCTCAGTCTGCCACACCCCAATTTCAGTAAGGCTTTTGACACTGTTGCAAATAGAAGGCTTATCAATAAACTGCAATCTGCAATTAAGTTTGGATTCCAATATTGTTGAATGGGTAAGGCAGTGGGTGAGTGACAGGCAACAGAGGGAATATACAGGTAAGGTATGTCCTTTTGCTGATGATACTAAGATATGTAACAGGGTTGATGTTCCAGGAGGGATAAGCCAAATGGCAAATGATTTAGGTAAACTAAAAAATGGTCAGAGTTGTGACAGCTGACATTTAATGTGGATAAGTGCAAGATAATGCATCTTGGATGTAAAAATCCAAGGGCAGAGTACAGAATATTTGATAGAGGAAAGGGATTTAGGGCTAATTATTTCAGATGACTTAAAGGTAGGAAGACAATGTAATAAAGCAGCTGGAAATGCTAGCAGAATGCTTGGTTGTATAGGGAGAGGTATTAGCAGTAGAAAGAGGGAAGTGCTCATGCCATTGTACAGAACACTGGTGAGACCTCACTTGGAGTATTGTACACAGTACTGGAGACCGTATCTTCAGAAGGATATTGATACCTTAGAGAGGGTTCAGAGAAGGGCTACTAAACTGGTTCATGGATTGCGGGATAAAACTTACCAGGAAAGGTTAAAGGATCTTAACATGTATAGCTTGGAGGAAAGACGAGACAGGGGGGATATGATAGAAACATTTAAATACATAAAGGGAATCAACACAGTAAAGGAGGAGACTATATTTAAAAGAAGAAAAGCTACCACAACAAGAGGACATAGTCTTAAAGCGGCACTGTCATGCCGAACTTACCTTTCCTCAATCTCTTCCTCTTCTCCCCCTCTCTCAGGATCTGTTATTCTTTTCTTCCTGTCTTCTTTAGTTTTCTTTAAAATCATAAGACAAAGTAGGGACTATTTGCCTTATGGAGGATTCCTCCGCTTGACCAGCTCTGACCAGCGGAGGAGCAAAGTGTGCTTCATTTCCGCTGGTCAGAGCAATTTTCCCATGATCCTCACCTTCCCTCTGTGTTCCCACAATGCTTCCTGTCACTTTCCACAAAACTGCCGAATTGTGTTCTAACTGAATGACAACAGTATGTTCGTTTCTTTTAGAACGCAATTCGGCACTTTATTCGGATCGGAATTTCATTCTAATGAATGAAACTCTGATCCTATTCATTGCTGTGGCTGCATCTTGCAACCGCTTAGTAGATAACTCCCTAATTCCCACGGTATCAGGGAGCTATCTACTAAAAGGCTGAAAGACCTAAATTGGTCTTTCAGCCAACTTTACTAATACTAAATAAAGATTATACCACGAGTAGGGGCATGTGTAGTAAGCAGTGAGCAGCTTATAGCTCCTGCGGAGCTCAGTATGCGGCGTGCCCTCGAAGGGCGAACTTGGATTAATTTTTTTTTGCGCTCGTTTTTTTTTGTTTTTTTTAAAGTGCGACGGGTGTAATGGATTTTTATTTGGCCTTTTTGGGGGCTGAAGAAAGAAGATTTTAGAAAAAAGAAGACGTCAAATGGTAAGTTTAATTTTTTTTTTTTACAGGTTAGTTATTTTATTCCCCCCTCACTATTTGTAGGGTGAGGTGGGTAGGTAGGGGATAGGTTTTTTTGGGTGGGGGGTTGGTGACTAGGGGCTTGGGACCCCTAGTCACCTTGATTGGGGGGGGGTTCATTTAGGGCCCCCACCCACCGCTCAGGGGTGGGGGCGGGGGGGGAGGACAGTAGGTCCCCCCCCTTATTGTTTTATTAGGGCCCCCACCCACCACTCAGGGGTGGGGGCCAGGGGGGGAGGACAGTAGGTCCCCCCCCTTATTGTTTCATTAGGTGGGTGGGGGCCAGGGGGGGAGGACAGTAGGTCCCCCCCCTTATTGTTTTATTAGGGCCCCCACCCACCGTGCAGGGGTGGGGGCCGGGGGGGGGACAGAAGTCCCCCCCCAATATCTTTATTTAGGGCCCCCACCCACCGCTCAGGGGTGGGGGCCAGGGGGGGGAGGACAGTAGGTCCCCCCCTTATTGTTTTATTAGGGCCCCCACCCACCGCGCAGGGGTGGGGGGGTGGGGGCCGGGGGGGAGGACAGTAGGTCCCCCCCCTATTGTTTTGTTAGGGCCCCCACCCACCGCGCAGGGGTGGGGGCCGGGGGGGAGGACAGTAGGTCCCCCCCCTTATTGTTTTACTAGGGCCCCCACCCACCGCGCAGGGGTGGGGGCCGGGGGGGAGGACAGTAGGTCCCCCCCCTTGTTGTTTTATTAGGGCCCCCACCCACCGCTCAGGGGTGGGGGCCGGGGGGGGAGGACAGTAGGTCCCCCCCCCCTCATTATCTTCATGGCCCCCACCCGCCGCTCAGGGTGGGGGAGGGGGGGAGGACAATAGGTCCGCCCCCCCTTATTGTAATTTATGTCATAGGCTGCTCACTGTTTAGTAGACATGCCCCTACTCGCGGTATAGCGAGTAGGGGCATTTGGGAGATTTTAATCTCCCTTGTGCTATTATGGGGGTCATATTGACCCCCATAGAGTGAGAGGGGGTACTGGGGGGCTTATGAAGTGGTGGGGAGCACTGCTCCCTGCCGCTTCTATAGTTACATATTACAAGGAGGGAGCTGCACGCCGGTAGCTCCCTCCTTGTAATAAACTGAACGAACAAACTAACACTGATACATTGTGTTTGTTTGTTCGGCTGATCTTTCTATTCACTCATTCGTCTGTCTGATGAATGAATGAATAGATGAAATTCCCGTTCGCATGTCCAGGTGTTTCACTGGGCATGTGCGGGAATCTCAGTGTCTGCCTAGTGTGGGCTGATGACGTGTCCCACAGGGACTTCACCTACCCACACAAAGATGGCGGCGCCCTGAATCAAGATCGGGGCAGAAAATAAGGATTAAAAAATAGGTAATCTGGGGGCTTAGGGGCATTTGGGGGTGACTAGTGGGTCAATTGGATGTAGTGGAGGCGGGAGGGGGGTTAAAAAAAAAACGGGATTCGGCATGACAGTGCCGCTTTAAATTAGAGAGGCAAAGGTTCAAAAATAATATCAGGAAGTATTACTTTACTAATAGGGTAGTGGATGCATGGAATAGCCTTCCATCTGAAGTTGTAGAGGTTAACACAGTGAGGGAGTTTAAGCATGCGTGTGATAGGCATAAGGCTATCCTAACTATATGATAAGGTCAGGGACTAATGAAAGTATTTAGAAAATTGGGCAGACTAGATAGGCCGGGTGGTTCTTATCTGCCGTCACATTCTATGTTTCTATGGGCCACAACCTCCTTCAGAGGCCCCCTTGGCACTGCTCTCACAGCGTCAGCAATCACTTCTGAAATAAGATTTGAAAATTTTACACACGGTCGTAGTGCAAGGTCCACAAAAGGTCCTTCGTTCCAGCAAAGGGGTCGTTTACATTTCAAGTTATCAGTTTTCATCAAACCTGACACCTGGTATTTAAATGTCGGGTCAGATACTCGCGGTCTGAGCAACGCAAGGTCCTCCAGGTTAAATGCCAAAGAACTGACACCAGGAAACGTGTAGCTGTCATCTGGCGGAACATCAGGTTTAACAGGAATCCAGCATTCACAGCACAAGACATCCGCCGGGCAGAGAAAGCATTGCAAAGTTATACCATTATATATACAGACTTATACGGATTATATTAACAATGTCGAATGTCTCTCTATACTCTCTAGATTGTGTTTGTTGGGCTGACAGAATTTACTTAGATTCAGATATAAAGACAGTGTTTCCTGAAAGCTAATTATTTCAAAACGAGGGCCATCCAATACAAAGATATAAAAATATACTGAGATATTCCAGTGTTTAAAAATCTAATAAAAAGGACTCTCCATATCTGGGCAGCACTGATTGGCTGTAAGCTCCAGTGGTGAAACATGGAGAAAGACAAATATTTTGGAATAAGATGGAGAGAAATACAAACATTTTGTTGCTGGGGGAGATAAGCATGTCGGAGGGTAACTGGAAGCCCAAATTAAAAACAAATGCAAAGCACATACACACACAGCACTCTGAAATGTACACATTCAAATGTCATTCAACCTGTTTAGAAACACTCACACACACATCATCAACTCATTATTCACACACAATAACAATCTAACACAATGTCTGCATAGAACCAAAGACTGACGCTTTACACAAAAAAAAAAATGCAATTACAATTAGATTGCAAGGTAATATAATTTAAGTCCATGGAAAATATAAATAATCACTAATCCTTCCTTAAAGGGACACTGTAGTAACCAGAACAACTACAGATTGTTGTATTTTTTATGTTAAGTATTATCAGTCCCTTCAGGCTTTTTGCAGTAAACACAGAATAAAATGTAGTTTTTACATTACACCCTAGGGCAGGGATAGCCAACCTTCAGCACTCCAGATGTTTTAGACTACATCCCCCATAAGGATTTTACACCCATAATGCTGGCAAAGCATCATGGAAGGTGTAGTCCAAAAACTTCTGGAGTGCCGAAGGTTGCCTATGCCTGCCCTAGGGATACTTCCACTGGCAACTCCTCATATGGCTGCTAGAGGTGCTTCCTGGGGCAGTGCTGCACAGTGTGACTGACAATTTGTGTCTCCACCCTCTGCATGGAGACACTGAACTTTCCTCATAAAGATGCATTGATTCTGATAGGCCAGGAGGTCATCAGAATTGACAATCTCTGCTAATCCAATGCTTTCCTATGAGAAAACATTGTAGTTGGCTGAGATAATCAATTCTGATAATGTCTACCAATGAGGCAGATTGAGGCATGCTAGTGTCAGCTAACTCATGCAGCACTGGAATAAACGTTAAAGCTAAGTAAAATCTTTTTTTAAGGGGAATAAAAGGGACAGCTACCTAAATAGTTAGTTTAACTCTATAGGGTCAGGAATACACATTTGTGTTTCTGATCCTATAGTGTTCCTTTAACAATAAACGATAGATAGACAGATAGATAGATAGATAGATAGATAGATAGATAGATAGATGGATAGATAGATAGATTGATTATAGGAACATTTGTCTTATATCATCACAACTTGTGACTATTTTCTTTAAATGAGTATTTTTCCAGTATTAATAATTATGTGAAAGTATCTCTGGTTAGGTATCTTTACACAATGCGCTACATACCCCTATAAATGGCAAAAAATTACAACAATAATTTTCATTTCTGTTAAGTTCTTTGAATGCATTACCAGGAAATGTATGTTTTCCCACATGTACACATCTAACTTTAAGGGATTAAAGAGTAAAACAGCCCCTAACTTTACGTTATTTGTTTTGTTGCTACTCGTGTCATATTGTGTCATTATAGTGGCAAGTAGGTGCTCCTAAAAAGTCCAGCTGTAAATGGTTTTATTCATTATTTTTATCCGGGATCAGAACGGTCTCCACGTTTAAATCGGAGGCCTGCTTATTACGCTCCAGCAGGTCCGAGTCAGACGCTGAAAGATCCTCTTACTGCGCCCTCCCAGCTCCATATCTCTAATTGTGATAGTAACTGGCTTTTAAACGATTGCTAAATTACATGCAAATCACCTCATTTCAGCCTAAATGAAATCCATCCCAGGTTTAGTGGGGCCTATTAAGGTTGCTTCTTGAAAGTACTGTAACAATATATTATTTAAGTGATTTCTATCCAGGATAACTGCGAGCCAGGCTGTGAAATTGGGATTCTGCAGGAAACTAAGTCTTCAGTCTCGCTTGGTATTTAAATCCTAAGCTGCTCCTGTTATACAGGCGGGGGTGGGGGCATTATGGATATAATATCACACTTACTGAGCATTACATATATAAATATATATATATTTTCTTTTCTATTTTAAGATTTTTATTGCAGTTTCCTGGGGGCGGGCTTAGTTTTTAACAGAGCTATTTTGTTACCTTGAAGGATCCAATTTATGGCCTCTGCTGCCACATTAATATGATATTATCTCACGATAAGTTACAGCTTCCATCCATCTGTAATTTTTTGGCTGAGCGTGATGATCATTCTGTTTCACAGCTAGAGTTACGCTGCATTTCTAGGATGTATTTATTAAATGTAATGTACAGAGAGTTAATTAAGTGTTCTCCATTAATGCATCTCTACGGGGGTGGGTCTATCCTGTAATAAGGTACCCTGCCCCGAGGGACTGATATTGTTACGCTAATGGAGACAGAACGTCCAGTTTATTACACTGAACAAAATTTTAAACACAACACTTTTTGTTTTTGCCCCCAAAGATCTAAGACTTTTTCTATGTATACAAAAGGCCTATTTCTCTCAAATATTGTTAACAAATCTGTCTAAAGCTGTGTTAGTGAGCACTTCTCCTTTGCCGAGATAATCCATTGACCTCACAGGTGTGGCATATCAAGATGCTGATTAGGCAGCATGATTATTGCAAAGGTGAGCATTAGGCTGGCGACAATAGAAGGCCACTCTTAAATGTTCAGTTTTATCACGTAGCACAATGCCACAGATGTCGCAAGTTTTGAGAGAGCATGCAATTGGCATGCTGACTTCAGAAATGTCCTATAGAGCTGTTGCCTGAATTGAATGTTCATTTCTCTACCATAAGCCGTCTCCAAAGGTGTTTCAGAGAATTTGGCAGTACATACAACTGGCCTCACAACCGCAGACCACAAGTAACCACACCAGCCCAGGACCTCCACATCCAGCATCTTCACCTCCAAGATCGTCTGAGACCAGCCACCCGGACAGCTGCTGCAACAATCGGTTTGCGTAACCAAATAATTTTTGCACAAATTGTCAGAAACCATCTCAAGGAAGCTCATCGGCATTCTTGTCGTCCTCATTGGGGTCTCGACCTGACCGACTTGAGTGGGCAAATTCATACATTCGATGGTGTCTGGCACTTTAGATAGGTGTCCCCCCCAGGCACCCCAATACAGTAAAACTGCACATTGTAGAGTGGCCTTTTATTGTGGCCAGCCTAAGGCACACCTGTGCAATAATCATACTGTCTAATCAGCATCTTGATATGCCACACCTGTGAGGTGGATGGATTATCTCGGCAAAGGAGGAGTGCTCACTAAACTTTATCCAAAACTAGGTTCCCTGTACAGAAACAAATCCTGCCTAAGCCCTACAGTAAAGGAAAAGATTGTAAAGCAAATGCTGATGCCAATCATTGATTATGGGCATGTGGTATATGCACCTGCACCGCAAACCCACCTCAATAAACTCAACACATTTTATCGTTCTGCCGATTTGTGCTACAATGTAATTACAGGACCCACCATTGTGACATGCTAAAAGAACTAAACTGGTTGTCGCTGAAATCCAGACGCATCCTTCATCTTTCCAGCCTTGTGTTTAAGAGCTTTTCTGGAAAGCTCCCCCCCTACCTGAGCAGAATACTCTCCTCGGCTGTTCCCACCTCCTATAAGCTCCGATCCAGTACCAACACTTTACTTAGTCTACCTCAATACAAAAAGAAAGCAGCCTGATCCTCCTTTTCCTACAGAGCACCGCAATTATGGAACGACCTCCCGCACAATTTAAAATCTTCCCTAAGCCTAAAGTCCTTTAAGAGATCCCTCTCTACATATCTCAAAACAGAAAAAACATGTTTATAAATGATCTTGAAGATTGAATTGAAAGTCATGTTTCAGTGTTTGCAGATGACACCAAACTTTGTAAAACAATACAATGTGAGCAAGATATTACTTTGCTGCAGATGAATTTAGATAGACTGGGGGACTGGGCACTCAAATGGCAGATGAAATTTAATGTTGAAAAATGCAAAGTTATGCACTTCGGCGTAAAGAATACACAAGCAACGTATACCCTTAATGCAGGGCCGTCTTTAATGCGGGGCAAACGGGGCAGCTGCCCCGGGCCCAGTTGCTCCTGAGGGGCCCCAGAGCAGCTGCCTCGTGGGCCCCGCGATTTGAGCAGCTCCCCTTGGACCCGGTGGGGTGGCTGCACAGAGCCACACCAGCCGCACGCTAAAGAGTGCCCCCGGGTGGCCCATACACCAAGGGCCACCCGTTGGGCATGTGGCAGAAGGGGCCCAGTCGGGCGCTGTGACACTTAAACAGCGCGACCGGGCCCCTTCCTGTTTGGCAGCCGGCTGGGAGGAAGTGAGTACCGCGCGTCACTTCCTCCCACCGGTGATCACAACCGCGTGGGAGGAGAAAGGCAGGGAGGAGGGGAGTTCCAGAGGAGAACTCCCATCTGCCTCAGCCTGCCACTGGACCAGGGAAACCACCCTCCAGAAAAAGGTAGGAAACTGGAGGGTGGCTAAATGTATGTCTGTGTGTGTCTATGTCTGTCTGTGTGCATGTCAGTATGTGTGTATGTATGTCTGTGAGTGTCAGTATGTCTCTGTGTGTCTATGTCTGTCTGTGTGTATGTGTGTGTGTGTGTGTGTGTGTGTGTCAGTATGTATGTGTATGTCTGTGTGTGTGTGTGTGTGTGTGTGTGTGTCAGTATGTCTGTGTGTGTCTGTATATGTCAGTATGCCTGTGTGT